CTAACACATGCACACTAAAAAATATCCCTACAGAGCATGACTGTGGTACCTTTGTCAGGCAGGTTAGTGTAACTCTGTAGTGTACAGTGTTAAGCAGTGGGTGGTACTGCTGCCACCCACTCTTCTTAGAAAACACTTTTTAGACTGAATTCAAACAAACTGCAAAGAACTCATGTCAGAGATATTTTTTCCCCACCAAGCCACTAAAACTTACGCATGCTCGTTTGCAGACTCCACGAGCCCCAGCAGTCTGCTCTCTGTAGTGTCATCAAAGAGGACATCACATTGGACAGCATGATTACGTTTTAGTTAAGGAGAAAGATGTTGTTTACACTTGATGTTTAATATCATATTTATCTGCCAGAAAAAAAAAAACCTTTCAGCAAAGTCTACTACAGTGGGAACGTGAAATTGGATTTCTATTCCTTACAAGTAACTATTGCACTTTTTACAGTATTTCTTAATTTCACAGAGTAATATCAAAAGTATAAACCAGTGCATCTATATGTCAGCATATAAATAAGGCTAATAAACATATTTATAGATCAAATTTCCTCTCCCCGTTTACATGCAACAATTCATGTTCTTCTCCTCCTCCTTCTGCTTCTTCTTTAGGGGTTGCCACAGCAGATCATCTGCCTCCATATCATCTTATTCCTAGCATCCTGTTTTGTCACACCAACCCTCTGCATGTCCTCCTTCACAACATCCATGAATCTTGTGGTCTTCACCTGGAGGGAGCCTCGCAGCGCCATCTTCAAGACCCTTTCCCCCTTTGCTCCAAACCAGTCAAACTGAGCTGTGCCTCTGATATACTCATTTCTAATCCTGTCCTGGTCGTTCGCAACAAAAATCTTTCCAGCTCTCAGCTCTGTCTCCTGACTTTTTATTTTTATCAGTGCCACTGTCTCAAAACCATATGTCACTTTGGATGGTTTATCCTATGTATTTAAACTACCTCACTCCCTCACACCTTGCATCTTAGACCTGGCCCTCTCTCATTCTCACAAATGTATTTGGTCTCACTTCTACTAACTTTTATTCCTCTTTTCCCAAAAGCATACCTCCACCTGCTCCTTACTCTTACTGCAGATCACAACGTCTGCAGTAACTGTTAACTTGTCTATTTCCACTGCAAACAAGAAGGGGCTGAGAGCCGATCCATGATGCAATCTTACCCCCGCTTTGAACCCATCTGTTACTCCTACCGCACACCTCACCTCTGTCTTGCTGTCCTCATACATGTCCTGTATCACCCTCACATACTTCTCTGCCACTTCTGACTTCCTCATACAGCACCAAAGTTTCTCTCTTAGTACCGTATCATATGATTTTTCTAGACCCACAAAGACTCAGCACAACTCCTCCTGATCGTCTCTGTACTTCTCTATCAGCACTCTTAAAGCAAAAATCGTGTCTGCAGGGCACTTCCTTGGCATGAAGCCATACTGCTGCTAGCTCAAATCCTCTCTTCTTAACTTGGCTTCAGTATCTCTACCCAAACTCCTTATGGTATTATGCAACACTTCATGTTATTACCATATTATTAAAAGAGGAATGACAGTAACAGTAACTACTCTCTGCACCTTGTTTTGAAAACATATTTTTACGCACATCTTACTTTAAGACAATGACAGTGAAGTTATAGGATCACCAGCACTGACAACAAAGACAAAGCACACAGCTGCCACCTTGTGGACAACGTGTCTCACTACAGTATTGAGTACATGTTACCTATTTGAAGGAACTGCTGACTAGACTAGTTTTTAATCTAAAAACAAAAGCACCAATAAACTCCATGTGCACTCAACTGCAATGCCCGGATAGAAGCCTAAGTAAAGCTACTCTTTAGTCAGAAAGATGACAGCCAAGTGGCACAACCCAACAGGCCCCATTTCGAGCTCAGCAGACAGAAAAGCTGTTGCGCCAGTCAAACGCGGTTTTTTGGAAGCATGTAATCTATAGTTTGATTCGCTGGTCAACCACGAACCAATGCGTGTGAGTCGGGAAGGATACCATGATGCAGTTTTCTTCCCTTTCTAAAGTTTCTTGAATTGCGACGGACTGATCCATAGTGTTGACATTCAAGCTTGCTGGGCGACAACTTTGGCACCACGCACTCCAAACGAAAACCCACTCCGTGGAAACTCGAGCAGCTCAGTTATTTCTCTCTGAAGTGGAAGCGCAGCGCAGTGAAAGGGAGCGCAGAAGCTCCGCGGAATCCCACATCATTCCTTTTCGACCCAGAAGTTTTCTTCTTTTTCCACCTTCCTTCGCTGCTGGCCCAGCCCGACCCAGTCTGCCACGCACTGATTCAGGATCGCGCTGTACACCCAGTGTGACGTCACTCTGTTTGGTTTGCAAAGGCCTGAAGCCGCCAGCTCAAGGACGGTTATGTCTTGCAACACCTCGCACTCCTCAGAAGTTGCATCAAAACTTTTTGAGGAAGTGTTGATGACCCCCGGTCAATCAAGCGGAAGTGGTCGATTGCGTATTTTTTTTTCTTCAAAAAATATTGTATTGCATTTACATCTTACGTTGTCAAAATGGACTACTGTATTACTGTCATTAATATTATTTGATTTCTATTGATCTTGGAGAGTTAAAATTTAAGAACTGTTCAGGATGTGTGTAACGCTGATTTTTTTTTTAAATTATTTTTTAAAAAGCTGCTATCACAATACATGATACTGTGATAACTGTACTGTATGTGCTTTTGCACAGTTGGCACAGGACATACACCTTTGTGCAAAGTACAGTGCTCTGTGTGCAAAATACATAGAGCACATAATGTGTAATCACCTCTCATTTATGTATACTTTGCTAGGAAAAAGGGAAAAGGGTTCAGTGATTTCTTGAATCATCATACTGTACTGCAAATAAAGCACAAACTCAGAGTTTGTACAGTTCTAATGGGCTCTAAAGTCATTAATTGGTATTACTACCTTTATTCTTCAACACAGCCTGAACTCTCTTGTGCAGGTTTTCTTGTTATTTCTTTAAGCAGTCTTCAGGAATAGTTCCCAGGCTCACTGAAGGACATTCAAAGCTCTTCTTTGGATGTTGGCTTCATTTTGTTCTGTTCTCTCTCAATATGATCCCACGCTGCTTCAGTAATCTAGAGGATGTAAATCCATGACTGATAGTGTTCCATTGTGTGTGTTTTTATCCCTGTTTTTAATGCACTGGCATTGTGATATTGACAAATGAAGCTGTTGCCAATGAGGCAGTTTCCAGATATTGCTGCATGCATGTTAAATCACCATGCACCTACTGAAGCTTCAGTGAACAGTAGATGGATCAAGTCAAGGTCCAGATGTCTTTGGTCCTGTGCCAGGTCTTTGCTGGATTTTCCCTTCTTTTTCAAGGAAACCATTTTCAGATACTGTTCATCTGTGGCAGACAGTTGTTTTTTTATAGGCCTGCCACTTCTGCTTTTATCCTCTGCTTGTCCAGTTTCCTGATTTATTTATTTTTAATACAGAGTGTACATTAAGAGATATAGAAAGTTTTAGCTAACAGTCCATTGGGAAATGTAAAAGTTTTTTTTAAGAAGATAACTTTTCTTGACAGGCTGCTGCAGACACAATACTGGTTCATCCATTGCTTTTGTTGACTTTTTAAAATTCTTGAATGATTCATATGTCACAGTTAAGTGGCTTAACAAACAAACAAACAAACCAACAAACCAAAACATTCATCTGAAAGCAGGTATAAATACTGGACTGAAAATGAGGGAAATAGCAGCTAATGTCCAAACCAAATCCCCAGAACACCTCCCAAAAGACCTTCAGAAACCCTGGACAACTGTTGCTCAAGACCAGATTGTATTTACAATAAAACATAGAAAACATATCAACAGTTTGATCTGATAAAAATGTGTAATTTTAAGGGAAACATAAGGTCATTTTGAATTTTATGGTAACAACACATCTAATTGCAGTGTGCAGTTTAGTATAGTCTTGTTGAAATATAAAAGAACTTGCCTGAAGAGGTCATCTGGGAGGATATGTTTCTCTTAGACCTGTATATACCTTTAAGACCAATCCAACTGTCAGAATTGCAGGTTTTTTAAACTCACTGCTGATCACAAACACAGTGGTCTCTGTGCTCTTTAGGCTGGATCATCTTACACATTTTCCAAAAAGAATTTCAAAATTCATCTGAACACAGAACAGTTTTCTGCTTTTCCTCAGTCAATGAGCTTCTGTCCAAAGGAGATGCCAGCATTTCTGGATCATGTTCACATATGGCTTCTTTTTTGCACGATAGAGCTTTAACCTGTATTTGTGTACGATATGGTGAAATATGTTCACAAACAATGTTTTCTAGAAGTCTTCTTTAACCTGTGCAAAACAGCCATTGAATAGTGATCTTCAGCCTTGGGCTTCGTGCACAGTAAGTTCTTTGAATTCTTAGGATTTTTTGATGACATTATGTACTGTAGATAATGAAATGTTGAAATTTTAAGTAGAGAAACATTCAATTGTGAAATTATTCCACAATTTGTAGACAGTTTTTTTGCAGTTTAGTGGAACTCTTCTTGTCTTTACTTCTGGAAAGCTCTGCCTCTCAAAGAGGCTCTTTTTATACCCAGGCATCTTACTGACCTGTTGCAGTTAACCTAGTTAGCTGTAAAAGGTTCCTCAAGCTGCTTCTTTTTAGGACCACTTACCTTTTCAGCCTTTTGTTGCCTCTGTCCCAAATGTTTTGGGACGTGTTGCTGCCATAAAATTCAAATTACTAATTCATTGAACAGCTTATAACTTAGACATGTAAAACATGGCTTCCCATCTAGCAACAGTCAGTATTTTTTGCAATGTAAAGCTTATTCTAAAAAGTAACAGGTAACTGGAGCTATGGATAAAAAAAAAAAACACAAAACAAGGGAATTTATGTGATTACTTTATGAACTTAGGTTGAGGGAATGTAGACTTTGCTAAACCGCGATCCACTAAGTACACTCCGAAAGCTGTAGCTGGGGAAAAACTTATCAGACATATTACATAAGATTTATTTTATTTTAAGGCATTTTTGATAGTGTACAGTGCACAAAACTAGAATTCACATATTCTAATTTCATTTAGCATTGATGCGACATGAATGTACCACAAAATATACTTTGTAAATCATATAGTAAATACCTCAAAATCACAAAATGTAGCTAAGTGTACTGACTTGCATGTGTCATTAATGTTACATCTACAGGAATTATTCAACAAGCCTTCAAAAGACAACTCGCTGTTACAGCACAACATTTGTGTTTTATAAAGTGCATATAGTTTTGGCTGCATTACTACAACAAAAGCTTGAAGAAGAGATTTCATCTCATATCAATAATGGCAATAGATAAGGACATTTCAGAACGTACAACAAGGTACTTAGCGGTTTAAAATAACTTAAAAGTTTATTTTACTTTATCAATCTGTTGCTTATAAAGATCACTTGTATGATCAACTGATATGTTGCTTCTGGCTTGTTTTTCTGGATTCCTGAAAATAGTATTTCATAGAGAAATACTGTTCAAAGCCATTTCAGTGGTCTGGAACCAGGCATAAACGGGACTGGAAAGTTTAAACAAGAAGCACAATCAACATTGCAATTAATGTTTTCCATATTTCCATACCTATACAATTACATATGAATATAAAAATATTCATATTAATATCTTTTCTACATTTTCTTTGTAACTTTGGAGAAACTAGGAGTTACACAAAGCGCTACTTACCTAATAACGCACACAGCAATTGATCAAGCATGTTCTCAAAGCAGAAAAGCGATAGCAACAATACAAAGTAAGGAAGCTATCAGTTCTGTGTGAAGATATGGACCTCTTGTGGCAAAAGAGGGAACATTTAGTGTGCCATTCAACCATAGGCAAGAGGTCATTGTGGCATTGCAGCACTCCAGATTACATGGAGGTTTGGTAGAAGCCTTGCAAGCAGTGTAGCCAGTGCAGTTGGTGCAACCCGCTGTCCATTTTGTGGCAGTATCTGTAGACTCATTTTTCAGCTGCAAAGACAATGAGTGAGAAAGATCGGTGTAGGGCCTATGAATGGTAAAAACTGTAAATATGAGGCTAATGAAGTTTGTTTATTTATGCTCATAAAATGTATCGTAGAGGTACTTCTTATGTTTGTTTTTCAGATTCTTTTGTATAAATAATTTATTCCTTAACCGATTCAAATAAAAAGCTATTTTGAGTTCATATTGGTACATTTTATGCCCCCTGGTTCCTTTTTCTTGTATATTCTTCAAATTTTGATAAATTCAGAAAGTAAATTCATAGATTTATAACAAAGTTTGTGCTGAAGCAAGGATAGCATGAAGATGGTGTCAGCTTTAAAAGCACTAAACAAACAGAAATACGAGTGTGTAGAAGCTCAGCAAAAACAACTGCAATGAGGCTGGAAAAATTAATGAATGTTATATTTATGCTATTGAATGTTCTTACCTGACAATGCGGTTCTGAGGAGGAACACATTTGTAGTATGGTGAAACTTGTATAGCAGTTTGCGCTGGTGCATGTACCAGAACTGCACTTGTTTCCCTGACAAAAACAACAGCGCAAGACACATAAAACTTATTTCACACCAAGTCTCATTTACACTGCTGGACAAAGTGGTTTTCAGTCCACACTCCATTAACTTGTTAAATTGTTGACAGGCAGTTTATTAACCAGTCAAAGATAATCATTATTAGAAAAAAAAAGGTAATACTTTTGTTAAACATAGTGATTCTGTTGGAAGCAAGGAACAGAGGAAGTTTGTAGCTGACATTTAAGAAAAGGGGACTGTGGTGTTAAAGGCCAAATTAGCTTTGTTTAGTGATACACAGCCTTCTTCCCGCATGCACATTTGCTTGCCAAAAGATTCATTCATGCAGCCAGCAGTTCTTACATTGTTTGCTGTTGTTTGACTGGTAGTAGTTGTAGTAGGGGCCTGCGTGGTTGTTGGTTTTGTGGTTTGAGTTCCTAAAAGTAGATAAAGGAGAAGAACAAAACAATATACAGTGATTTATTTATTTTTTTTAAGATTTAAAAATTGATCATTTGCAAAGACAACAGGAGCATGGTTATTCAAGGAGTTTGGAGAGAAAAGCATCTGGACTTTTTTAAGTTGCTTGAAGACTTGCTAGCGTCACCCTTGGCCACCCTTTGTCCACTTTAAGAAACGTCTTAAAGCAACTTAAAGAAGTCCAGATGCTTTTCTCTCCAAGCTCCTTTGACTACGATGACCTGGATGACTGAGAACCTTCACAGACATATGAGCATGGTAAAACATAAAATATTTATGAGTAGTTACCATTGGTTGTTATGCTCATCATGGATGCAAAAGTGTAATTGAGACAGCCAGTGAAATTACAGCAGTTCACAGCACAGTTGGTCTGGGAGGCATTCTTGCAGCTGTCAGCACAAGAGTTGCTGCAGCTGGCAGTATACCACATGTCTGTTTGCCTTAACAACTGAGATATAACAGAAAGATTAGAGAGACGCATCTAATTTCTTTAATTTCTATACTATGTTAATTTATTTAGAAAAAATAAATGTATTTTCCCTTTAATAGTCAGTTATAGATACCATGCAATCTTTTGACTGCTCAATTCCTTAAAAAGAGGGATTTGTAATTGCTATGGCTCAAATAGTTTCTTAGTTTTTAGTGCCATTAGCTGACTGCCCTACCTGACAACAATTATCGACAGCACACGGAGTGGTGTTCTGACTGATGTACATTGAATAGCAGTCAGAGTAGTTACAGTTGAATGAGGGGCAGTATATCTGTATTTGAGAGAATTAAGAGGCATGTGATGAAGAGGCTTGAAGGAATGAAAAACACTCATAGATAAGTGAACAGAAGAAGGAGAATATTTGACTTGCCTTAGTGGTTCCATTCTCAGTCATGTCACCTGTGATAGAGAGACAGATGTCATGACTGGAGTTTTTTAAAGCAACAAAGTTAATGTGGATGCGGGGGACTCACTGGTGGATGTAGTTGCTGTGCGATGTAGATGTGGGGGACTCTGACTGGTGGTTGATGCTGTGCCTGTGGATGTAGAGGGGACTCCCTGGTGGTTGATGCTGTGCCTGTGGATGTAGATGTGGGGGACTCACTGGTGGTTGATGCTGTGCTTGTGGAGGACTGCTGGGGCTAGGTGATCTTGTGGGATGTGGGGACTCGTGTGGTGCGATTGCTGTTCGTGGATGTTGGGGGGACTCCTCGGTGGTTTGATGCATTGCCTGTGGATGATGTGGGGACTCAGCGGTGGTGGCTGTGCCTGTGGATGTAGATGTGGGGGACTCATCTGGTGGTTGATGCTGTGCCTGTGGATGTAGATGTGGGGGACTCACTGGTGGTTGATGCTGTGCTTGTGGAGGACTCGCTGGCTGTTGATGCTGTGGCTGTGGAGTGGGGGACTGGCTGGTGGTTGATGCTGTGCTTGGACTGCTGGGTATTGTGGGTGGATGGTCTCAGGGTTATCTTGGTGTGTATGCGGATTGGATGCTGGCGGCTGCTGGGGTGGGATGTGGTAATCTTTAGTGAGAGTGGGCTAGTGGTAGTATGAGTCTGGCTTGGATTGTGAGGCCATGTGGTGAATGCTGTAGTGGACCTGGCTGTGCTGTGCATGTGGCTGGCGACTAGGTGGTTGATGCTGTGCTGACTCGTGTGATGGTGTTGCTGGGGACTGCTGTGGTGACTCAGCTGTGGTGAGTGTGGGCTCGCGTGGTGTTGCTTCCTGTGGTGGATGTGGGGGACTGCTGGTTGTTGATGCTGTGCCTGTGATGTAGATGTGGGGGACTCACTGGGGTTGATGCTGTGCCTGCTGATGAGATGTGGGGGACTGCTGGTGGTCGATCTGTTAGCTGTGTGGAGGGACTCGCTGGCTGTTGATGCTGTGGCTGTGGATGTGGGGGACTGGCTGGTGGTCATGTTAGTGAGTGGGACTCGCTGGCTCTGTGGCTGTATGTGGGGGACTGGCTGGTGGTTGATGCTGTGGATGTAGATGTGGGGGACTCACTGGTGGTTGATGCTGTGCCTGTGGATGTGGGGGACTCGTGCTGGTGATCTGTTGCTTGTGGACCTCTGCAGCTGTGACTGTCGCTGGGACTGGCTGGTGGAGACTCTGTTATGCTGTGCATGTGGGGGACTCGCTGGCTGTTGATGCTGTGGCTTGTGGGGGACTGTGGGGTGATGCTGTGCTGGTGGGCTGGCTGGGGGATGCTGTGCCTGTGGATGTGGGGACTGCCTGGTGGTTGATGCTGTGCCTGTGGATGTGGGGGGGACTCTGGCTGGTGTTGATGCTGTGCCTGTGGATGTGGGGGACTGGCTGGTGGTTGATGCTGTGCCTGTGGATGTGGGGGACTCTCCTGGTGGTTGATGCTGTGCCTGTGTGGGGACTCGCTGGCTGTTGATGCTGTGGCTGTGGATGTGGGGGACTGGCTGGTGGTTGATGCTGTGCCTGTGGATGTGGGGGACTCACCGGTGGTTGATGTTGTGCCTGCCGATGTGGACTGGCTAGTGGCTGAGGAAGAATGGGTAGTGAGCACTGTAATACCTTCATTGGTGGTAGAAGAGGGCTGGCTGGTACTGGATGCTGTTGAGCTTTGTGGGGTGGTAGTGGCTGCTCCTGATACTCCTGATACTAACATGGATAGCAGAAATAGTCCTAAAGGGAGGACTCGCAGAATACCTGTAAAGTTGGGCATTTTGGAGGAAACATAATAAGACAGGATTGGGTGGATTTTTTTTAACAACATTGCATAATGTGCATGGACTGGGTTTTTTGGGAAACTTTTTATAAAATTCTCTAATATTATGGTGATCAGAGAATAAATCATAATGAGTGAGGATATTTATCAAGGATTTCATGCAATATCTTAGCTTCTATTTGAAAGACTGGCACAAACACCAGGTAACTGGTTCTGAATATGCCTTACCCTTTTTTATCCAGGTGCAAATCAACATAAAAACTATATATTACAGATTCACAATATGAGCAAACTATTTTGTTTTTTAGTTATGCTGATAAAACTATAAATCTGTTAAAAAATACCGGGCCTAAGATGTTTATATATCTATATAGTGCCCTCGGGTTTGGCACTAATGCTATTGAAGCTTACCTTGGAACATGAGCAAAAGATATATAACTGGCTCAGACGTCGCCTGAAAAGTTCCCCATCAGGTGTTGACAAACCAGGACATACTGAACATGGACATACATGCACAAGAACTGGCATATGGAATTTATGAAATGCTACTACGCCTGCTGATCCAATGACAAAAGTCGCAGAGCATGTTTGAAGTTTGATTGAGTAGAAAGCACCTGGCAGATCAGTGCAATAACCTCAAATGAAGACAGACAGACTGGTGAAGTCATATACTCCACTGGTTCTGAATGAAAAAGAGTCACAACAAGATGTCCATAACTGAGGCTCTAGAAAGTGCCAAACAAAGGCTCACCGCCCTGGCCGCTAGGCTGAAGAGATACACCACAGAAGGAGAGCTGAAGAGAATAAATGATCTGTTATAATAACTTTGTCAGTGTATTGATCCCTGGCTTCTCCAGTTTACATGTGAATCCTTGGGCAAGATACTGAACCCAGAGTTTCCCCAGTGCTCCCATGAATGCATCTTGTGAATATAAAAATTTTGATAAAAGTGCTGTATGAATGTGCATGAAATTGGGTAAATGAGAAAACTGTTTTCAGTGCTCAGATTGAGTGGAAAGTATATAAGTGCCAATCTATTTACACTCACGCCTCATTATAATAAACAGATACTTAACACTGTCCTTAACATCAGCTGTTAGGACTGTCATTCTTAATATTTAGCATAATGCATGATTGTACCTGAATTTTGCATTACAGAGATTATTTTATGATATCATTATGATGATAGGACAGCTGGACCATTTAACCAACAGCCCTATGAAGCAAAATTTAGTACAATGATGCATTATGCTCAATATTCAGAAAGATAATCCTAGTGGCTCCACAGTGTATTGATTTTCACATGTGCCTAACAAGCAAAGGTTTCCTTTGTTCAATCTTAGAAGGAAGCACAAAACCTTTTCAGGTTTTGTCAGGAAGGGCGTCTCGTATAAAAAGTATGTCAAATTAAATGTGGGTTACCTACTAAGACAACCCCCTTTAAATAAAGGAGCAGTCAAACGTAGTTTTTACTGGTAATAACATTTCTTACAAGCTGAGACACATAAACATGTGTCTCTAGCAACCACAGACTGACTGTAATCATGGAAACTTGTATTTATCTGCAGCAAGGCATGCCACTCTGGTGCACAGGTATCATGCCAACATGTGTGTGTCATCTTTTTATTCATGAGAGAGCAGTATGACATCTTTGCTTTTGGGACATTTGCACTGGGTTCCCATAGTTTCAGTGGTTAGATGTGCATTTGTTTCTTCAAAAACATGCAAGACCTGAGCCCTAATGGATGCAAGTTCCTTCATGAGACATGCATATTGCCTATTAAACCAGCCAAATCCCAGTAATTTTATCTGATTTTCTCTATTCTGAACATACAACAAATACTCCATGTCTTCTTTTTCCAGTCCTTAGTTTTATTCCTTTCCTAACTTCAAGTCTAAGGTGCTGCAGAGGGCGCAATATGCTTGAAACATTAAAGTTGTGCAAGTTTTTTCTTAAATGATAGGCAGGATGGGTGGAAAATAAACAATCCTAAAACATATTGATTGAGTCTCCATTTCACCTGTGTAACAGAATATATATGTCACCGAGAACAGTGCTTTTAAATAGAGAATAAAATACAAACTCATACCTGTGTCTTTTATAAAAGTAGTGGAGGTCATTATGCCACTGCCTGAAAGGGAGGGAGCTCTTCGTCCAGCCTGTAATTATATAATACCCATCAAATTCCCAGTAAACTCATTATCAGCATGAAAGAACATCTTGCATTGTCCTTCCTTTTTTTAATACCCACTGAGTTGTACTCAAAATTGAAGATTAATCTCACCAAGATAAATAAACTAAACAATAACTGCATTTCTGTATTGACAAGGTCTGTATCGGTGGGCACAGTTCACACTGTTTACCCACGGTAATAGGTCTCTGAATTACAGCCATGCTCATTCATTGTAACACACCTGGGCACTTTGTTTGATCTGTGACAGCGTCGATGGTCATCAATGGTTTTTTCTTTTCACAAATCTCCAATTGTTCTGGTGAAACTGATCTCATAATTGTTTGGTTGAGTTACAATATAAGAAATTTAAAAAGTAATGTGATATGTGACATTTAAACCTGTTGTGCTTTTTTTTTTTGCAGTTTCTCAAGGAATTAGTTTCAACATTTTCTGGTACTTTTTTTTTAACCAGCACTGCATGGTAAGCCCCCCTATGAGGTAAAGTTTAGTTTTGTGTAGTGACACATAATTGTTTTTTAAGTGTCTTGCAGTGCAGTGAACACAATTAAAATGTGTTTGTTCCATGCTCAGTGCCCCTGGGAGAGCCACTAAGCAGCATGGCTTGTTTTTTCCTCTTCTTCCTTGGATCCCAGGGTGGCCTCCTATGGGCGCTCCACCCTGGAAACTGACCGACAACAGTGGCCATTTTAGCTTCCATGTCAAAATGCAGTTTAATTAGGAAAACTGGCAGGAATTTCTTGGTTTGGTGCAAGCTGTTTACTCTTAATGATGCCAATATACCTATTGTAGTGTCCTCCTTACACAAACTTCCTGTTTACATCATCTTATTGGTAAACTGCTGCTGCAAGACTCAGTCGATGTACTAGTTAGTGTTTGGCAAAAGCAGTCATGAATGATGTAATGTTTTGGGAATATTAGGAGGTTTCAGGGAAGGAATTAGTTGTATTAGCAACTGCCTATTCTATAAAGAGCAATGGAGAATAGGCAACACATGCTACAAACAGAACACCTGAGTATAAATTTTTAAATGATTTTGTAATCAAAATCCTCAAAGTGGTTCATTTTATAGACATCATAACACTAAATGTTTTTGAGACTGAAACTGAATATTACATTTTAAATATTAAGGGATATAAAACCTTTATTCAAATATTAGAAAAAACGTTAGAAAAACATATTCACCATATTTGCACATGTAATATGTAAAATAATATTTTGTAACTGAAAAACGTACAATAGAAAACGAAGAAAACATCAGCCTGTTGTATAATTATCCAGCTTCAATGGCGCCGCCTGCTTGCTATGCGTAAATATAGCTTAAGGAATTTAAGTAAAACTAACAAAGTCCATCATTCAAAATCGGTAAAATCCACTCACCTGTGGTGCACTGGGCATGGTTTGTCTCAGCTGTGGTTGAAGTGAATGAGCTTTCTCCCACTGCAGAGTTCTCTCTTGCTCTCTGTCACCTCCCCTGTTTGCTTCCTGCTGATAGCAACGCAATAAGAACAAATTCTCAGCTGGACACTTATTCAAGTATTAGAGGAGGAGACTAAAGGCTTGCACTTGCTGGATGCCCCACAATTGATGTTGTAATAAAAAGACGATATTACTTTACAGTACTCACACAGTTTTGATTACTCTGAGTTCAAATAAAAGTGTACATACCGAAACTTACAATTAACTGAAATAACTGAGTGGATTAAGCCTGTACTTGTCTATGAGAGCACAGGTGAGATTTCAGTGTCCTGTGTGTTGATTGTATAGGGGGCCTCTTGGTTTCGGTTCAACACAATGTGAAATTAGACCCCCTTCTCTCTCCCAGCCATACGCCCCCTCTGCACGCTACAATTCGCTCTTTGTGGCTCAAAGAACATAAAATTCTTGGGCATGACACCAAAGAGCCTTGCACAATTTAGGTGACAGAAGTCCTTCCTTTTTTCACTGCAGCTCCAATAATAATAACGACATTTTGTCAGCTATGTATGGATAATTGTATGAAAATAACCCTCAAAACGGGAGTTTTCTGGATTTCTAAATTAGGTGGAAAATCTGACTCTGAACTTTATTTGTACTTTCATTTAACGTTAGAGATTTCTCATTAGGCAGTGTTTGAGCTATTTTACTGTTAATTATATAAACATATTTAGAGATAATAGTGATTAAAAGACATAAAATGGTATAGAATATCTTATTTTAAAAACATAACAGAACAATAGAATGTTTTTTCTTATTACACATGTTTGAAGTAATTTATTGGCCAAACCTATCAGGAATCACTCGCAGCACAACCTAAAGGTTAAAAGTTTGGACAGTGATCTCCTCATCTCCAGCAGAGATGTCCCACTGACACCTAAAATACCATTAAATTTAAGATTTAAGTCCTAAAAGCAGGTAATGAGAACTTATTATCATAATTAATTATGCGCCTAATTCATTAATTGCATTGGGGTGTAAGTGGACACCCTCATTTTGAGTGAGATGATGTGAACTAAAGACATTTATTGGTGCTAAACATTCTGGAAAAGGCTACGAAACCATCTTCTTTTGCCCATTTTGAAAATTGTAACCTCAGGTTTTTGGTGGTGTGGGAACAACTCAGTAGACTGATCTTTAAAAAGCTCAGACCAGCCCATTGGATGAACAAGAACAATTATTCCACGTTTAAAATCACTTAAATCACCTTTCTTCCTGATTCCGATGATGTTTTAACTTTGGTAGGTCTTCTTTATCATGTCTGCATGCTGAAATAAATTGAATTAATGCCATATAAGACTATTTTCTAAGAATGAATGTTTAAAGTAGAATAAATAAAATGCGTATTTTGGATGTCAAACTCCTAAAAAAGTGTTGTGAGGAATCTGTAGCAAGCAGTTAATTATTAATCTGAACAGTTACAGTCATTTCATTTAAATGCTTACATACTTTTTCCCCACTACAGACGTATAGTATAGTATACATATAGTATATATAGACATGTTTTACTTACCCCAATTAAATGAATTATACTTTGTTATTTAATTATTAACTTTATCCAGTCTTGGGATTAGTGTGATAATCTCACAATGTTTGAGTGATATTTTAGTTTGAAAAAATTATTTAGGAATTCAAGGCCGAGT